CACTTTGTAGATACTGCATTTTTTATGGAGGCTTATTTTGAGGCAACCCTGCATCAAGCAAGTCTATTGATTAGCACCATTTTCCCAACAGCATATGCTCATTTTGCACCACACTTGGCACTTGGTAATTCTCACAATGTTTCAAACCTTTTCATTTTTATATCTGTTATGGTGACCTGTAATCAATGATCTTTGAAGTCACTGTTATAATTGTTTTGGAGGCACCACAAACTGCACCCGTATAAGATGGCGAATCTAATCAATACACGTAGTGTGTGTTCTGATTGTTTCACAGACTGGCCATTCCCCCATCTCTTTCTTTCTCCTCAGGCCTCCTGATTCCCTGAGACAAAGGAATAGTAAAACTAGGCCAATTAAATCCTACAATGGTCTCTAAATGCTCAAATAAAAGGAAGAGTCCCATAATTCTCACTTTAAATCAAAGCTAGAAATGATGAAGCTTAGTGAAGAAGGCCTGTCTAAAACTGAGATAGGCTGAAAGTGAGGCCTCTTGCACCAAATGGTTAGCCAAATTGTAAGTGCAGAGAAAAAGTCGTTGAAGGAAATTTAAAGTGCTACTTCAGTGAACACACATATGATAAGAAAATGAAACAGCCTTATTGCTGGTGTGGAGAAAGTTTTGTGACCTGGATAGATCAAACAAGGCAAAATATTCCCTTAAGCCAAAGCCTAATCCAGAGGAAGGCCCCAATTCTCTTTAATTCTAGAGTTAGAAGCCTGAAGGAGGTGAGGAAGCTGCAGAAGAAAAGTTGGAAGCTAGCAAATGTTGGTTCACGAGGATTAAGGAAAGAAGCCATCTTCATAACATAAAAGTGCAAGGTGAAGTAGCAAGTGCTGATGTAGAAGCTGCAGCAAATTATCCAAAAGATCCAGCTAGGATTACTGATGAAGGTGGCAGTTCTAAGCAACAGATTTTCAATGTAGACAAAACAGCTTTCCATTGTGAAAAGATGCCATCTAGGACCTTCTTAGCTAGAGAGGAGAAGTCAAGGCCTGGCTTCAAAGCTTCAAAGGACAGGCTGACTCTCTTGTTAGGGACTAGTGCAGGTGGTGACTTTAAGTTGAAGCCAATGCTCATTTAGTATTTCCAAAGTCCCAGGGCCCTTAAGAACTAGGCTAAATCAACTCTGCCTGTGCTCTGTACATGGAACAACAACACCTGGATGGCTGCTTATCTGGTTTACACCATGGCTGACTGAATATTTTAAACCCACTGTTGAGACCTACTGCTCAGAAAAAAACAAAAAAAGTTCTTTCAAAATATTACCACTCATTGACAGTGAACCCAATCACCCAAGAGCTCTCATAGAGAGTAACAAGGAGGTTAATGTATTCACGCTTGCTAATACAACCATCATTCTTTTTTCTTCTTTCCAGCTTTTAGGTTCAAGGGGTACATGTGCAGGTTTATTACGTGGGTAAATTGCACGTCACAGGGGTTTGGTATACAGATAATTTTGTCACCCAGGTAATCATCATAATAGCCAACAGGTAGTTTCTTAATCCTTACCCTCCTCCCACCCTCTTCCTTCGAGTAAGACCTGGTGTCTATTGTTCCCTTCTTTGTGTCAATGTGTGCTCAAAGTTGAGCTCCCACTTGTGAGAACACATGGTATTTGGTTTTCTGTTCCTGAATTAAATTGCTTAGGATGATGACCTCTAGCTACATCCATGTTGCTGCTAAAGACATTATTTCATTCTTTTTTATGGCTGCATAGTATTCCATGGTGTAAATGTAGCACATTTTGTTAATCCATTCCACCATTGATGGGCACCTGGGTAAATTCCGTGTCTTTGCTATTGTGAACAGTGCTATGATGAATGTATGTGTGCATGTGTCTTTATGGTAGAACAATTTGTATGCCCTTGCGTATATACTCAGTAATGGGATTGCTGGGTTGAATGATAATTCCAAGTTGTTTGAGAAATCTCCACACTGCTTTCCACAGTGGCTGAACTAATTTACATTCCCACCAGTGGTGTATGTATTCCCTTTTTTCTACAACCTTGCCAGTATCTGTTATTGTTTGACTTTTAAGAAAAGCAGTTCTGACTGCTGTGAGATGGTATCTCATTGTGGTTTTGATTTGCATTTCCCTAATGATTAGTGATATTGGGGCATTTGCTCTCATATGCTTGTTAGTCATGTGTATTCTTCTTTTGAGATGTGTCTGTTCGTATCCTTTGCCCACTTTTTTTGCTTATTGATTTGTTTAAGTACCCTATAGATTCGGATATTAGATGTTTGTTGGATGCATGGTTTGCAAATATTTTTTCCCCATTCTGTAGGTTGCCTATTTTCTCTCTTGATGGTTTCCTTTGCTGTGCAGAAACTCTTTAGTTTAATTAGGTCCTATTTGTTAATTGTTTGTTGTTGTTGTTGCAATTGCTTTTAGAATCTTCATCATGAATTTTTTGTCAGGGGTGATGACCAGAATTGTATTTAATAGGTTTTCTTGTAGGGTTTTTATAGTTTTCAGTTTTACATTTAAGTCTTTAATCCATCTTGAGTTCATTTTGGTATATAGTGAAAGATAGGAGTCTAGTTTCAATCTTCTGCATATGGCTAACCAGTTATCCCAGCATCAATTATTGAATAAGAAGTCCTTTTCCCAGTGCTTGTTATTACCAGCTTTGTTGAAGATCAGATGGTTGTAAGTGTGGGGCTTTATTTCTGGGCTCTCTAGCTTGTTTCATTGGTCTATATATCTGTTTCTTTACCGGTAGCATGTTGCTTTAGTTACTGCAGCCTTGTAGTAGTATAGTTTGAAGTCGAGTAGTGTGATGCCTCCAGCTTTGTTCTTTTTGCTTAGGATTAGTCTGGCTATTTGGGCTCTTTTTTGGTTCCAAATGAATTTTAGAATAGTTTTTTCCTAATTCTGTGAAAAAAACATCATTGGTAGTGTGATAGGAATAGAACAGAATCGGTAAATTGCTTTAGGCAGTATGGCCGTTTTAACAATATTGATTGTTTCCATCCATGAGCATGGAATGCTTTTCCATTTGTTTGTGTCATCTTTGATTTCTTTCAGCAGTGTTTTATAATTCTATTGTAGAAATCTTTCACCTTTCTGATTGGCTAGGTATCAGAAATAAAATACCTAGGTGTTTTATTCTTTTTGTGGCTATTATCAATGGGAGCGTGTCCTTGATTTAGCTCTCAGCTTGGATGTTATTGGTGTATATAAATGCTGCTGGTTTTTGGACATTGCTTTTGTATCTGGAAACTTTGCTGAAGTTTTAAAATCAGATTTAGGAGCCTTTGGGGAGAGACTATGGGGTTTTCTGGATATATAATTATATTGTCTCCAAAGAGAGATAGATTGACTTTCTGTCTTCCTATTTGGATGCCTTTTATTTCTTTCTCTTGACTGATCGTGCTGGCCAGGAGTTCCAGTACTATGCTGAATAGGAGTGGTGAAAGTGGACATCATTGTCTTGCTCCAGTTCTCAGAGAAAATGTTTCCAGCTTTTGCCCATTCAGTAAAATGTTGGCTGTTGTTATTGTTCATTCCATTTTGTATGTTGTCTGTTTACTCTGTTGATAGTTTCTTTTGCTGCAACATCATTCTTTCTTATGATGTTTGCCCATGCTATTTTGAGGTACATTCCTTCAATGCCTAGTTTGCAGAACCACCATTCTGCAGCCCACGGATCAAGAAATAATTTGAACTTTCAAGTCTTATTGTTTAAGAAATGCATTAGGTAAGGCCACAGCTGTCATAGATAGTGATTCCTCCGATGTATCTGGGCCAAGTAAATTGAAAACCTTCTGGAAGGGATTAACCATTTTCGATGTCATTAAGAACATTTGCAATTCATGAAAGGCGGTCAAGATAGTGACATTCTCAGAAGTTTGGAAGAAGTTGGTTCCAGCTCTCACAAATGACTTTGAAAGGTTTAACACTTCAGTGGAAGAAGTCACTGCACATGTGATGGAAACAGCAAGAGAACTAGAACTAGAAGTGGAGCCTGAAGATGTGACTGAATTGCTGCAATCTCATGATCAAACTTGAATGGATGAGGAGTTGCTTCTTATGGATGAGCAAAGAAAGTGGCTTCTTGAAATGGATTCTACTCCTGGTGAAGATGCTGTGAACATTGTTGAAGTGACAACAAAGGACTTAAAATATTACATAAATGTAGTTGATAAAGCAGCAGTAGGGTTTGAGAGGATTGACTCCAATTTTGAAAGAAGTTCTACTGTGGGTATAATGCTGTCTAACAGCCTCACATGCTATAGAGAAGTCTTTTGTGAAAGGAAAAGTCAATCAATGTGGCGAACTTCATTGCTGTCTTATTTTAAGAAATTGACACAGCCACCCCAGCCTTCAGCAATCATCAACATCAAGGCAAGACCCTCCATTAGCAACAAGATTATGGCTCGCTGAAGGCTCAGATGATCGTTAGCATTTTTTAGAAATAAAGTATTTTTAAATTAAGGTATGTACATTTTTTTAGACATAACGCTATTGCATGCTTAAGAGACTATAGCACAGTGTAAACATAATGTTTGTATGCATTGGAAAACCAAAATATTAGTGTAACTAGCCATATTCTGATATTTGCTTTATTGCAGTTATCTAGAACCAAACCTGAAATATTTCTGAGGTATATTTGCAACCTTCTCAAAAAATGTAAACCTTAAACTCTGAATTTGAGTTACAGGAAACCAGAGACACATATATACTTACATATGTACATTAATTCAGATTTATTGAAGACCGAGTTGTTCTGCATATATTAAAGTTCCAAGTGGCATTAAATTTCATTTAGACATTAAGCATTTTTGAAATGAATGTTTATAAGCCATATCATACTTTTCCTTCTCTTTTTAAAAAGTGTTTTCTGAAAACAACTTGACCTTTTGCTTAATGACTTAGCATTTTTTCCCCAGGAGAGGTGCCTGACGAGCTCCCAGTCCTGTGGTTCAGGGCAGGCTCTGGAACACTCACAGAGGAGACTCCTCTGAGAAACCGAGGTTTCTCTCCAAGTCATGATCTGTTCTGCCCAGGATGCTCCCCTGACACACACACTGAAAAACTGAGCACCTGGAGAGCAACACCAAAATCCCACGGCCAATAATGGGCAACCCAATCAGGTGACAAGTTATTCCCAGACCCTAAAATGCACGCGGTGGTGACAGGGCACCAACAACCAGAGTCCCAGGAATTGACATCCGAGAGGGAGGAGATGGGGGGAAGGTAATGAGGCAGAGCCCAGCCACCTAAGGCAAGAGACCCCAAATCAGCTAACCAGAGAGGGCGGCTGGTGGATTGAGAACAGCGACTGCAATCATGCTGAGTGAGCCCGTGACCCTGCCTTAGGTGACACCAGGCGATGCATGGTTCCTACCATCAGGTCAGATGATACCGGGTGACATGCAGGCACTTTGACCATCCTAATAGTCCAAGAGGTAGTGGAGCCATTAGAATCAGCTCGGCCTCCAGATGTGCCTCTGCATCCCTGGGTCAGCGTGAAGGTGCAGAAGCTGTGGTTCTGCACAGGAGATCATTTGAGAAGGCCAAGACCTCACCTAAACTCTTTAAATGAGGGCCTCTGGGGCGGAGCCCGAGGCCTGATGATTTCTTCATGCTCCCAGGGTAAGTCCAGAAGTAGTTAAAGTTGAGGACCACTTTGGTGAGGGAGAAAAAAGCATACTTTTTGAGGACTCTTCCCAAATAAGATTCTTTTTTCCTCTGATTTGTTACTATTTGTTAGCATCTGTGAGTGAAAGGGATGTGAGGGTTTGATTTGGCCTAAATTTCCCTTTAGAAAATTCCCTTTGGGAAGAAAAAAGGCTCTGATCACCAACCAAAGGCCATGTATTCTAGTCTCGGCCCCTACCACTTGCTGGGGTCCTCTGGGGAGCTGTGGAAAGTTCTGGCATCCTGCCCCACCTCCGAAGGCTCTGCTGTGTTCATCTTGGGTTCTAGATGCCCCCTAGGGTGGTCATGTGCAGTCAGGGTACCCTGGACTCCAGCCAGCCTCAGTAAGCCTTTGCAGGGCAGGACACTTTTGCCCCTGTGTGCAAGTCGTTGCTTCATGTAATTTGCATAAATACACACTCTTTTCTACCCAAGGTTAATCTTTTTAATTAGTTAAGCTGCTATGTTGTAGGAAACAAGCACTGACCCTTAAGTAGATAATTGGCACAATTGAAACAATTAAATGGTTTTCCCCAGGACAACATTCAGCAAAGCCATTCTTGCTGGAGAAGGAACAGCACAAAACAGCTGGAAGGAAATTGTGGCATGCATGAGAGATAACTTGTCTGTGTTTGCAGTCTACTGAGATCCCCGCTGCAAGAAGAGGCAGGATTTTCACTTGCTTCTTGACCCATCTCTGTTGTCCAGAATCTAGGACTGGTGACAAGAGAAGCGGACGTGATCTGCACAAGCTGGTGCAGCTGGGTCGGGAGTTGCTCTTCCGGGACAGGTGGGGAAGGGTGCTGGCGGGGAGGGAGGAGGAGAGAGGTTTTAGGGGAGGAGTGCTGAGCAGTCAGGAACCTGTAAGGTCACATTTCTTTCAGGTATTCTTTCTAGGTGTACTGAATGGGAACATTGTCTGTCATCCCTAGACTGCCTTAAAGACCTAAACTGCTTCCATTTGTCTTTGGTTGTTGGACTCAAGTTTCTAATACACCTGGTGACACAGAGCACAGCTCTGTGTTTTTATGGGTTGCTTAATTCAAGACCTGGATGAAGGAAGCCTGAACCCATGTTTGTGCAAAAGCCTAAGGGTGTACAGCAGGGATGCTCAAACTTTTGCTTTTATAAGAACCCACTTTTATATTAACTAGGTTTTTGAGTATGAGAAGAAATGCTTGAACATGGAAATGAGAAGTTCTAACTGTAGGATGGAGTTTACAGTGAATATGAACCTCCCTCCCCGCCTCCAATCCCACAGCCGCTTCCATCTGTACTCACACCTGTAATCCCAGCCCTTTGGGAGGCTGAGGCAGGTGGATCGCTTGAGGTCAAGCGTTCGTGACCAGCCTGGCCAACATGGTGAAACCCTATCTCTACCAAAAATACAAAAATTAGCCAGGCATGGTGGCGCACACCTGTAATCCCAGCTACTTGGGAGGCTGAGGCAGGAGAGTCGCTTGTACCTGGGAGGCAGAGGTTGCAGTGAGATGAGATTGCACCACTGCACTCCAGCCTGGGCGACAGAGAGAGACTCCGTCACAAAATAAACAAACAAACAAACAAATAAACTGCGAAAGAACGAAAAGCGTTTCCAATTATCAGAAAGGAAAGACATCTATAACCCATAATATTGTTGACTCTTGACTGAAGCAGGCATTCACAGAAGCTATGAGAGGAGTGTAAATTATTGCCATCTTTGGGGGAAGATGAGACACTGTCTAAAAAAATTTAAAAGAAATATGTCACTTCTTGGAACTTATCCAACAGATCTGCTTACATAGTTCTTAGGAGAAAAGGCTCATAGGTGCATAGGCAAGGGGGCTCTCCCCAAGGCCATCTTTGTGCCACCAAAGGCTTAGTATGTTACCTTCCTTGTAATTTGCATTTCATAATTATTCATTATAGCAAAATTACTTTCACTTTGCCACTTGCTGGTTGTGTGGCCTTGGAAGATCATTGAATTTCTCTTTGTCTCAGTTTTCTCATTGAAAAATCGAAGAGTGCACTATTTCCTGTCTAAGACTACTCCAGTTACCATGATTGCATGGCAAATTACCCAAAAATATGGTGGTATGCAACAATTTTTTTTTATGTGCATGAATTCAGTGGGTTGGGAATTCACATGGGAATTCAACTGAAAGACACTGAAGCTGGGGGCTGGCATGCCCTCCAGTCTCACTCACGTTACGTGTCTGGCGATTGAAGTTAGCTGTTGGCTTGGGGGCCTCAGTTCTTCCTCATGCTGTCACTCCATGTCAGCTAGCTAGGCTTCCAGCAAGCATCCATGAGAGACAGAAAGCCAGGTGTAAACTCTATGGCTTTCCCACAACTCCTCATTTAGCTTTGGAAGTCATACAGTATCATCCCCGCTGCATTGTTGGTTAAGATAGTTTTAAAGTTCTGCCCAGGCTCAAGGGAGAGGTGCAGTAGTCTGGTAGGGCTGCCATGACAAAGCACTACCGACTGGATGGCTTAAACAACAGAAATTAATTTTCTGACAGTTTTGAGGGTAGAAGTCTGAGATAAAGGTGTCAACAGGGTTGGTTTCTCCTGAGGCCTGTCTCCTTGGCTTGTAGATGCTGTCTTCTCCCTATGTCTTCAGGTGGTCATCCCTCTGTGTCTGTCTGTGTTCTAGTCTCCTGTTGTGATAAGGACACTGTCATATTGGGTTAGGGCCTACCTTCAGGACCATATTTAGCCTTACTTATCTCTTTAGAGACCCTGTCTCCAAAGGCAGTCACGTTCTGAGGTACTGGGGATTAAGGCTTCAACATATGAATTTTGGGGGAACACAATTCAGCTTATAACAGGAGGGAACACAGATCCCACCTCTTGAAAGAAGGTTAGCATCACACGATACAGAGAGTTTGTGGGATGGCTCATAACAACATCATTGTCCTTGGAAAATAAAATCAGCCAACATGACCTACAGCCCCATCCTGATACCATCGGAATGACATAGATGAAGGTGATTCATAATGACAGCATCATACCGGTGTAACGTACAGGGCAGTAACTTCACTGGCCTCAAGGACAGGCCTCTGGTTGAAGGGCCCACATGCCCGGGATACATCTCATCACCTAAGTAGATGATCTGAGCATCCGCTGTGGGTAAAGTTACACACGGCTGGGGTTTTGAACATGAATAGAAGTTACCCTTTGGATTAACCTTGAAAACAACCCGTGACTCTAATCAGGTTTTTTTGTTCCTATCTCCCATGACGTAGGGCTGAACTCTAAGCTTTTAGAAAGCACCTCTTGACAATAAAATCTTGGATCTTGTAGCAAATGCTGTGTATATGCTCTTCAGCTGTAGCCCCAACCTACTATGAACGTGCATGCCTGTAAACTGCCACCATCCAGCATCTTTTTCTGGCCATTAGAGCCTGATTTTCCTGAAGATTCAGCAGGTTGGAATGCCAGAGAATAATGCCCTACCTGCACCCAGCAGTATTCCACCAGTGGCTGTGGGAGTGGCTCACACACTGCAGCTCCCTCCCCTCATGGGACTGGGACCTGGAGTTCCCAAGAGAGATGAGGCTCCGATTGTCCACGGGGTAGCTAGTTTTACTGTCACCTTCCCTGTCCTGTCTCCCTGTCTCCACTCCCTACAGTGCTCCTGGAGATAACTTCCCAAATTTGCTGCCTGCCCTTGGATGCTATTTTAGGGTTGGCTTCTGAAGGAACACAAACGAAGACAGACAGGTGTGCTGGGGAGCTACGTGTAAGACCATGCCAAAACATGGCCAACAGCAAGGCAGTCAGCCCCTCCCAGGTTTAAAATCACGTTTTCTACATTGTCTCTCTCATATGAATCTGAGTGAAAGCCCAGGCTTCTGCGTCACCTGGGCCACCTAAGGAGCTCCCTCCAGCCTCTGGGTGCTGAAGCTCCAGCCGCCCTCACCACATCACAGGAAACCGCGAGCACATCCTCCTGCCTTCTCCTGCAGGCTCTTCAGTGAGCGCCTGCAGAACTGCATCTAGATCACAGGGCCGATATTGTCACCTTCCCTGTCATGGCTCCCTTCCTGTCTCCACTCCCTACAGTGCTCCTGAGAGCCGGGAGCGCTCCCTGATTTGTTTTATCTTCTGCACAACTGTGTGGCTGGAATAGGAAGCAAATGACATGGAATTTGCCTATGAAAAGCTATTCCCACCTGTGTCCTTGTGTCTGTAAGGACAGGAGGATCCAATCGTCTCATCTGGCAATTGGTCAACCGGGACGGAGGGTTAGTGGGAAACCTGTGTGCCCCTACAGGCGGGAGGGGGACAGGGTGACCCTCTCTGGTGGCTCTCAGCCTGCCAGTGTCCCTGGACTGTTTCCAAGCCCAGGATTCACCTGGGACAACTGGGCAGGTGTCTAGCGCTGGAGACAGCCCCTTCCTGGGTGTACTGATGAATCAGGCTTCCCTGGGGCTCTGGGGTGGATGATACCCCTCGCTCTCCCCTTCCCAAGCCTTGTGCACATGCTGCTCACCCTGGAGCCGCCTCCCTCCAGTCTCCCAGGCTCAGGCTTAGCTGCCTCCCAGCGGCATTTCCCTTTGCCCATGGAGGCCTCCTCTCCTCTCCCAGCTGAGTGTTCACCCCTCTTTATTTTATTTTAAACTTCGTTTGGGTTAAAGTGTTTTTTTCTCCCTGACCGTTTTTCTCATCTGTTGCTGCTGCCTTTTCCTTCCCATTGCGGGTTCTTAGGTTCAGAGCCTGGGGAGGCTCAACAGTCCATCTGGTGTTTGTAGATGGCCTCGGGGGACCTGACACATGTCCACAGGCCCTTTGGAGCTGAGGGGTGGATAGGACACCTGGGGGCACACAGTCCCCCACCCCGTGCTGCTGGGACAGGACACACTGACCCTAGGCCCCTTCCGGCTTCCTGTGTGGCTCCTGGCCTGGCCATGGGAGTTACAAAATCAGAACTGGTGACTGCCACATACCTGGGGCCTCAGCCACAGCCAAAACCTAAACCGAATGAAGCCAGATCCCTACCTTAACCCATCTGGAAACAAAAACAATCCCAAAGAAGAGAGAGACGCGAGCCGTTTTGGACAGGTGTGTGATTCTGAAATTGAGGGACCGAGCCAGAAACAGAAATGCGCGCACCAGACCAGTTGCTGCACCCACTGGGCAGTCCGGAGCCGTGTGTGTGTGTGTGTGTGTGTGTGTGTGTGTGTGTGTGTGTGTCACTGACAAAGAGTTTTGAAACACTGAACTGGCAGGGACTTGGAGGTGGAACCATGTGACCCAATGCTTTTAAAAACGATTAAACTAACTTTACAGAACTCATCCTGAGGAGGGAGAAATGGGTCCTGTCGTAAGGCTCTGGATGTGGGAATTAAAATGCATGTACGGGCTCGGTCCGAGAGCCGAATGCACTCTTAAGGAAACTGAATCTTTGCCCCAGTCGGCAAGCTCAACAGCGATGATTAAACATTTAATCAGACGCATGATACTTTGTTGTGTGTTCATTGTGGCTACAGGAAAGGCTGCTGTAACAGATCTTTAAATAGCAAAGCCGCGGCTAAATTTCACTTCATCCATCAAAGGCTGCTGCTATGCAATGACCTAATTTTAGCAGCTTATCAGTCCCCCAGTGCTTGTTAGTTGATGTAACTTTGATCCTCTGATGCTAGATGACTTTTGTGCTGAATATAGCTAGAATTTAATATGAATCACTTGGATGGCTGCCCAGCTGAGCTCAACTGTATGAGAGAGAGAGAGAGAAAGAGAGGATTCGGGCTACCGAGGTGAATAATAATATACACATAGGCTTCCTTTTTTTTCTGCGGCAATCAACTCCGTATCGCGAGGATGTATTTCAGGCACAATACCCTTGGACTTTTGTTTCATTTCTCCCTCCTAAACAATGAGACTGCCTTCTCCCGGCAAACATACATAGGAGGTAATAATGCGCTGCTACTGCCAAGATCTGACGACAGTGTCAATAATTGCAAGACATTTTAAGT